GTAGTAGTAGTAGTAGTAGTAGTAGTAGTAGTAGTAGTAGTAGTAGTTTCGCCTTTTATTTGTAGTAGTGTGACTACTACGATTGCTGATTCTACTGGCGCGTACCACCACGACTACGCCGATGTGAAACACTAAATGTATATATTATTACCGGAATTCTTTAGGTTTCCTACCCTCGTGTCAACTTAGTCGACTTGGCAATTTAAATAATCTAAGATAATTTGTGTTCATGGGGCTGCGGTGCAGTTTCTCTTTTGTACCCCGTCGTGGTCGATATAGCCTCATTCTGTGAATGATGTTGTCGCTGTGAACGGCGAGTACTCCGAAGACGCCATGGCGAAGTGCGCCAGCGCGCCTGCCGGAAGTTGACCTTGGGAGTGCCGGGTTTTGACCCCGCACACCCGAATCGTCCGGACATTGGCGCCCGAACCCTTTGGAATCCAATGAATTTTGATTTTGGTGCGCTGGGTTTTTCTATGGCGCACTGCAGCCTGAAGATGTCTCGAGAGAGCGCCATAGCAGTGAAACGGGGCAGCAAAATGAATCACAACAATATACAACAACATGTTGTGAGTTTTGGGGTTGAATTGGTCCAGGAACGACCAGAAACGATGATTATACAGTAGATGGTACGAACTCTGGGAATTGGAACATTTCCATTGACATGATTCTTCAACGTGCTGAGATTTACACACAGCTGCTTCTTTCGTGACCTGGGAAAATATGGCAGTGGGTCATGGCACAGGGGGACCCTGTTTTTTTCCACCGAAAATGAACACAATAGACGACCTGACTACTGTCAGTCAACCAGCTTTGGAGCTCCAGGTGATGATCCATGGCCGTCGAATCCTTTCCCAACGGCTTGGGATGTTACAAACGAACATGAAATCTGAGAAATGACCGGTGGTGGAAGACCATTTTGGGGTTCCGTGTGGTAGTTTGCAGGGGAGTATATAATGATATATTTTGAATGGTGGCGTGGCATCCCCATATTTTGAAAACAACAATTCATCTCCCCGAAGCTCCGGATTTCTTGTTCATCAGAAGGCATGAAAAAAGAGTGGTTGGTGGTTCAGATGTGCTTCCTTCGTCGAAAGCTGATCCTGTGGTCTTGAAGGATCATGTGGGGGGCATTTGGTGAAGAAGTAGCTTTCCCATGCCATTCATTGACCTGAATCATCCAGAAATATCCTGGACCTAGCTTCTAACTTTGCAGAGCTATTGTCCAACAAAGTCTTGTCAACGCTGGTTCAGCAATACAGTAGTAGATTGTTCAGCCATTTATTTGTTTCTCTCATGTTTACACCAACTGTAGCTATACATCAGGTTTTCTGCTATGATAGCATCTCATTCGAGACCGAACTGTTATGCATCGCGAGCTCCTCAAAATTAAACCACCGAGCTGGGCCTTCCGAGCGAACAAACACGAGTTTGGGTCTCCACGTGTGACCAATTTCTGTCGAAGCAACTGGACTCGAACACACCGCACACGCGTCCTACCTGAAAGGGCTCAACAGTCGCCGACCCGAACGTATGACTGGACCCGAACATGCATGGCACCCATGCAGTCCTACCTTAGGTACGGTACGGGCCCTCGGGTCTGGTTAGCGTGTTGAAGCTTCGTTCGGTGTCACGGTCACAGCACGTTGGTGTGGCATCGCAGCCGGTTCTTTAACGATGTTTCGTGTGAGGTCACCATGTCAATGTCATAGATGATGAGACTGAAGGATCTTTGGGGCCAGGTGTGGTAGTCAAAGGCTGCTTCCTGTTCTGCCTACAGTTCTGAAATTTCCTGACCTTTTTTTCTGAGACGGTGGGGTCGTCAGGTGCGTTACCCAATCAGTCAGCAGTTAAACTGCTGCTACAGTGCTACAGCTTTGGATGAACACCCTTTTCTTGGCAATAGTATGCAATAGTGGACATATATAGGAAAAGCTTGGGCTTTCATCTGGGAAACAGAGCGGAAGGGAGAGCTCTCAGCGTTTGTTAGATCCATATAACCTCAAGAATTGCCATATTGTAGCTTGGAGTTTTGGACTCCAGACTTCTCCCTAGCAGTAGCTGTTCCACCCATGTCGCTGACTTTTTCACTCGCAATCAAACCCATCCGATTCTGTCGCTGATTGTCTTCAATTTGCTTGACCAGCTCGGTCGGGAAGAAGAGTGCCGCCATGCCGACCGTTCGGCAGACTGGATTTGGTCGGATCGAACGAGAACAAAAAGGGATCTGAACAGTTCCGGACGTGTCGGGGAGCCAAAGGTTCAGGTTCCGGAAGTCAGGGCGTTCTCTTTACGGGAAGTCCCGAGTCACGAGTGGATGGGACGAAGAAAAAGAAGAAACCGGCCTGGAACTGTTGGATGTTCTTGCATTTGCTGGCACTCAGATGCACTTATGAGTCGACCCGGTATTTCCTGGAGCAGAACGACTCAAAGAACAGAGGTGCAGATGGTGAACACCTACGGATGTATGGGTCGACTCGGATGTTTTCGGTGTTTGATTGTGGTACTGTAGGTGTTTGGAATCAAAACCCATAGAACGCTCAGAGGCTGAGAGCCCCCTCGCGGGGAAGCCGCGCGGAACTTCAGAGTTGACCCTCGACTTGACAAAGCGGTCGCCTGGAAGCGACTGAAACCCAAAACGGTGCCGTAGATGTACGACTGGACCCTCACAACTCGTCAGTCTCGAAATCGTGTCGAAGACATTGAAGACATCACCGTATAGCCAAGAGAGGGTGGCAGTGGATTGATAGGCACTTTGAGAGAACATTGTTTTCTAAGTTATAAGGAGAGATCTCCCTCAGAATGACCTGTGCCTGGACCCTCCAAAGTACCCTAGGCCCTAGAAGACATGACCGACCCTTGAAAAAATAGCTACTTGTACCGCTTGTATACATTTTCTGAGGTACGAACTGAGACTGTGGCGTGTGCAATCCTGGGGATTCCAACGGATGATGTCCTTGAAGGTTTTTGGAGTAAGCACCAGTTCTACAAGATCCAGGGCCCGCACCAGTTTTCGCCGATGTCTTCCTTCGTGTAGAAGACAGAAAACCACCTCACCGATGCAACGGTGGCAGTGGATCCATAGGGGAAGGATTATTCTGTTTCTTCAGGGTTCAGATTCATATGGATTCTTACAGTTGGACCATGCTACATGAATCATCATGGATCATCATGGAATCCCCAGGATTCACATGGATCATCCGTGATTCCATACATGGATCATCATGGATCCACATGTTGGGTGGATTCGGATTCGTGGTGTGTCGACGCTCTCAAAGTCCGCTGGCTGCGGACCTGACGTGTTAGGTCCGCAGCCGCAGGGGCCGTTGGTTGGAGGGGTGGCACATCATGGCTGTATTCTAGAGAACCCCCGGTACTGTAGCCCAATCGGTTTTGGTCTATTTTCCTATCTTCCAGGAAGTCGAACTGGGAGGTGTTCCTTATATAAATCACATGTATTCCAGTCTCAGATAGGTCATGTTTGGGTGTGGTTCTCGACCACCGAGGAATCCCTCCATCCCTTTGGAGAGTGTCCTGGCGATGGAGCAAGACATGGAGGCACGGGACGGGGCGTGCTCATCCCGTCCAGCTCATCTGGGGAGGTCTAGAGACATTCAGAGACTGAGAGCGACATGTTCAGAGACAGGTGTTTTACGGTCAAGTGACTTGGTTTTCTACGTGGTTGGTGGCTGGATTTTGCTGTGTAAAGGATCTTGAAAAGCAACTTCCCCGGCAGTGGTTGGACGGAACCTTCAATCCAAGATCAGACAAATGGAGTCCTAAGGATGACGACTACCTGCTTTAATGTCATCCATGTCATCCTTGCACAGCATTGATCACAAAATTGGTCCTCGATGCTTGAGAATTGGGAGTGAGCGACCGAGCAGTCATGTATTCAGCCAGTGCTGTGCAATGGTAAAACGTGTGAAAGATGTCCTGGGGATGGTTTCCCTAGAAAATCTGATGCCGGTCAGCGAAAGATCTCCTACTTCACTTAGTCTTCACATGCAGTAGCCAACCCTCGGGATCATGGATGGCTTCTGCCACGGCGGGAGAGAAGAGTCGGTGGAATCCCAGAGTCCACTCCCAAAAGAGTGGCCGCTAGACTGAAGATATGGTAAATCAGCTGTCAAGTTGTGGATCATCACAGCTCTGATTGCACTCATTATCACTCGTTAATGGGTAGCCAGCTTGTTCACCAGCTTTGTCCTTTGGATACT